ACACACACACACACACACACATATATATATATATATATATATATATATATATATATATATATATATATATATATATATATATATATATATATATATATATATTGCCATCTACAGACAGACTGTTTCTGTGTTTCACAGACCATCACTGTGTCTAGACATCCGATATATACTGGGTGTAAGTTTTAGATTCAGAACTGTTTTATCTTAGAAATGATTAAAGATATCTTACTGGAATTCTCCGAGAGTTTTATAACGTTATTAGACTCTACTTTGACCAATAATAATGTATTTAACTCTAAGTTGAAATGACGATCCCGCTTCTTGTTCCGCCCTCCTGATCCAGTTTTCCTCTCTACTGTTCCCCCTTTTTAAACTTATTCAACAACCTCCTGATGGTTCTTGAATGAACTTAGCCAGAGTATGAATGTTTTTCGAATGATCTTTTTCCTCTCACCATTGCTCATTTGGAAAGACAGAGTGTGGTTGACACAAAATTATTTTAACTTGTTTTTTTAGCTGAATAACTCAAAGGTTTTTTCAGTGATTCTCACAACAAATGGCGCCAAGATGGCTAAAACCTGGAAAAAAGAAACTCATTTAGTGGTTTGTTTTTATAGGATGGAAAATTATTCTCATGCTGTTACACAATTTTGACAATTTTGCTGTTACATTATATATATATATATATATATATATATATATATATATATATATATATATGAGGGGGGGTTGGTTTGATGGAATAATGGATAGTGGCTCGTATTGAGGAATCAGAGAAATGAGTTCAAATTCCAGCTGAATTTGTCACATGGCCCTCTGTGCAAATATTCTTTGCAAAATTTTGAGTCTATCTCTTCCCCTCCTACGACTGTTACAGACTTGTTTCTATAGCCTTGAGTGGCAACCGGCCTAGGAGAAAGCCAACTATGAATTCAAGGTGAGTTCTTTTGGGAGATTGTGATACACTATTTGTTTAATTTCTTTCACTGGTAGTATAACTCGGAGTTTCATGCACAACACAATCATCAGGTGGGGAGTAAAGACTGACCGTTACATTTAAACATGTAGTCTGTACCAGCCTCTACCTAGCACCTAAAGATTGCATTGTGCATGAGAAAATAATATGATGAGAAATAATATATATATATAATCGACTCTCCCGTCGAAATTCGACGTATGAGGGTCAAGCAGATCAGTTCCCAGGAAACCGACAGCCCGACACCGGCACATGAGAATTGATTATAGTGGTGAAGGCTTCGACCATCCACACATTTTGAAGGGACGAATACAGTCCCCAAACGACCCTCTGCAGGTTTTGAATTCATAGTTGTCCTTCTCCTAGACCAGTTGCCATCCAAGGCTATAGAACCCAGTCTGACCTGCTCTTTTACCCATAGCTGGAGGGAGAGGAAGAGGATTCATACCTTTCCCAGCGGTATTGGGATTCGACTGGAATTCGAACTCGGCTCTGCGATTCCTCAATCCAAGTCGCTAACCATTACGAGAAATAAAGACCAAATTGTACTTGAGAGTATCACGTTATGGTGATCTTGAGACGATCACACCTAGTTGTTTTACGATCGCAATAGCGTGTAACTCACAGTTACATCTGAGTTCCAAAGCGATGCTTAACATATATTAGTTTTACGGCTCTGTCTTCATTATTGGCGGCTATATATATATATATATATATATATATATATATATATATATATATATATATATATATATCCAGACAGACTGTTTCGCTGTTTCACAGCTCATCAGTGTGGCTAGACATCCGAAACCCGACTGAACTGGTGTCAGTGGAGATTCTAACCATTTCTTTAAGCCATCGGCGCACGGTAGGGAGGAAAGTGGATTTTTAGTGTGTTTATCTTTATAAACACGCCCAGTGACCGGGAGTGACTCAATTCGCATTAGCGAAGAGTCTCGCTATATAGCTATAATAGTCACTGTTTACCAACCCACATCTCCTCCCCAGAGAGCTCAACTGAAATTAATTTTTCAGGGAGCCAATATATATATATATATGGTTATATATTTGTTAATATATATATATATATATATATATATATATATATATATAGATATTACATATATTGATTGCACATTGAGTGTTAATAAAATAGTGCTCAATATAATATAACAGAGCTATTAAGTATATATTAATAAATATTCATATTATCCCTTACTGGTAGCATAACACGAAGTTTCATGCAGAACATAATCATCAGACCGTTGCATTTAAATATGTACTCTCTACCAGCCTCTAACTAGCACCTGAAGATTGCATTTTGCATGAAACTCTGAGTCATATTACCGATGAGAAATAATATGTATATTTATTTATATATATATATATATATATATATATATACTACAGTTCAAAAGTTTGAGAGGCTACTCTGGTAATTTTTTTTAAATTGGCCCCAAAGGTATTTGTCTTGTACTTTAAATATAAGAGAATTATTATACACGGTTAAACAACTGAGATATGATTTTTTTTTTGTTAGAAAATTTAATTATGCCAAATGATAAAAAAACATTTTCTGATTAAATTTTTTTCTCGTGAAAATAGCCTCCTTTTGCCTTGATTACTGCAGCACAAATTTTTGGTCTATGTTGCAAAAGTTTCTCAAAGTCTACGTTTGATAACTGATTTCATTCTTCTGTCACGTTCATTCTGTATTAATTCTGTGGGTGTCTTCAAACTTCCAAGATTTATAACACACTAGCAGCCATAGACAGCGGGTCGATCAGAAAAAAGCGTTCAATTAGAATGGAGCAAAAACAGAATCATGTTTAGATTTAACAGAGCCTATTTTCTTCAATTACTCTAAAGTACTTTCATTGAATTTTATTTTAGTTAATACATTTACTGATATAACAGAAGTAGTCTGTATTTATTCAATCGAAGTTAGCCGGGGACATGAAGGAGTAAAGCAGACAACTTGAAGACCCACTTCAGACCACAATTATTTTGGAGTTTTTGAAATTCAATTTGTCATTGTGCTACCAGGGTTCATTTATAAAGCAATTGTTAAGTTTGATGAAAATTGGTGGAAAGATCAACGAAAAATAATTTTTCACTATTTAAGCGAATTTTCACGATATGGTGGACTCAGTTATCAAGTTAAATGACTGTTAAACAATCAACTTGTTGCTGGCTACAATTGAGTGAAATTTGTATTAGAATGCCTGAAGATTGAAGGAGTTTTTAGTCTAAAATTTGTGTTGAAATCGATTTTTTCGTTTTGCGCGATTTTTCGCTAAACACAGTGGCGTAGAAATAAAAAGGCCGTCATGATGTAAGTAACCTGCATACAGAGTTCGAACGAAATCGGAGGAAAAATGTTGAATTTGTCGATTTTTGATCGGATTTATCGTTTAATTATTTTTTATAAATTATCGATTTTTGTGCTAAGAATCTATCTCTTACATTGTACAATGTATGTGCCAAGTTTGGTCAAAATCGGTTGGATGGATCTCGAGTGAAAAGATATCACACAAACTGACACACACGCAAACATCCTCTGTTTTATATATAGAGAGAGATGAAACTGTATTCTATTTGGTCGGGTTTAGCATACATACATCTTGTTAACGCACATTGACATCTCTTTATACTCATCATGCTTACCGGGTTTCAAGGTTTGTTGCAGAGAGGTAACGTACCTGGTTGTACATTTTGGATGGAGGAGAAAAAATATCTTTCAGGAATTTTAAACTCACTTTCTTCTTTTACGCTATAAATGACCCAAGTGCCACTCACGGTAGAGGGTTACTAAAGGCGTTTGCTGTTTGAGATGTAAGAGGTCAGAGGTGTCGTTTAGGAGTCCACATGGGAAAAATAACGTTTAACACTGTTAAGATTGTAGTGGTCGGGAAAGCATCCACTTGGGAGTCGGTTCTAAAAAGTGGCGGTTCGTGGGAAGAAGCAGTTCGATTGGGGCTTCTAACTAATGCAATACAAAGAGAATGGGTGTAGTTCGCCTCATTGTACGGGGCCGGTATAGCTGGAATGGTCAGAGATAATGGTATTCAGGAATGAAGATTCGTTTGAAGATTTTCACTGGAAGCAGCAATAGAGTAGGCTTGCAACATTTCGTCTGTGCCAAAAAAAAAAAAAATGCTGCGTAGATTTATTAATTGATTCATTCATTTTCTTCGGCTTTTCAAACTTTTGCAGCTTTTTTTGAATCCACAAAATAGTTTTAGATTCTAAGAATTTTTGCAGGTGAGATAACAATGGTTTTAGTGATACAAATCTTATTAATTAAATCATATCTGGGAGAAAAGACGTAAATTTATACCTTTCGCAACTGTATTTTCACGTAAATGAATATAACGAACCTAACTGGGATTTGAACTCGACTGTCCGATTAACAATTCCTTGTCATTACTCATTGCACCATCCGTACATCCAAGCGGTCACCGATTTAGGTACTGACAAAGCTTGACGTTACTTAATTTTGGTGATCGTAGGGGGGGGGCTGTGTTTCAAGGTAACGTGAAGGCCGTAAGAAAGCTTTAGGACTATCAAGACCAGAATGTGAAAACATGGCGGTTCCAGGCTAGATATGGCAACAGTAGACCATTTTCGGGCTGCCATAACTCTTACAATGGTAGAGCATGGCAGAAGGTGTCAGGTACTTACTGATGTGGTAAACGGAACCATTTTTCTCGCATCTCTATGAGGGATCGTATAGACGATTTTCTCTTGTGTACGAAATTCGTCCTTATACTCGTTCAAATCATGATTCTTGAAAACAGGGGCGGGGGGTTGGTTGTTTGGTTTGGAGCTCATTGTCGGCTCGGTGATGATAGGATTTTATTAATTTCTTCCAGGTATTTAAGAATTTAAAATGCAAAAAAAAAAAAAAAAAAAAAAAGAATCACTCAGATACCAGCACAAGCCACTTCCCTCAAATCCGGCAAAAGTAGAAAACTCCAAGTTTCTAGTCGGGCTGAGAACTTTTCCGAATTCCTCAATTCAGCCAATAGCCATTAATATATCCACTCACGACCTCGTCACTGCTAATTCTTCGCCACGTAATCTCTTCTTCCTCCTCCCCCTTTCGCTGTGTAATGTTCTCTCCCCACTGCTCTTTTCCTACCCCTTTCGTAATCACCTTCTCCCACTACTCTTTTTATTCCTCCATTTATTATATAATCTCCCTTTTCCATTACTCTTCCGCCCTCCACATTTCTTATTTAAGCTCCTCCCTCTCATCTTACTTTTCCCTCTTTATTTATGTATTCTCCTTCTCCCACTACTCGCCTTCCTTCCTTCTTTCATGATGTAATCGACTTCTTTTATTACTTTTCCTCTTCTTCATTTTGTCACGTAATCTCCTTCTCCCACTACTCTTATTTCTTCCAGTTTCCTTAAATTATCTCACTGCGTCCCACTTTCCTTATTTTATCTCCTACTCCCACTACTCGTCCTCTTTCCCTCTTTCGTTACGAAATCTGCATCTCCCGTTATTCTCCCCGCTTACCCTTTTCTTTACTTAATCTCCTTCGCTCACGACTGTTACTTTCTTTATGTAAAATACTTCTCTATCTACACTTCCCCACATTCGTTATTTGATCTACTTCTCCCACTACTCTTCCTCTTTTCATTATTTTATCTCCTTCACCCACCACACTTACTCCTTTTCACTTTTGTCATTTAATCTCTTTCTACATTTCTTAATTCCCCATTTCGTTATGTTCTCTCCTTTTCCCACTACTCTTCACCCTTTCCTCACTTAACCCTTTTCTCTTCATACACTACCTCTTTCTCCTTTTCGTTATCATCTTTTCTCGCTACTCTTTCTCCTCCCCTTTTTATATTTAACCCCTTTCTCTGCTAATCTCCCTCCTTTCCCTCTCTTTATTTATTTCTCAACCTACAGTTTTCTCCGTACATAATATATATATATATATATATATATATATATATATAAAACCATACTCTGTGTGTAAATGCGTACATGTGTATATGACTATGTGTCTTTCAATAAACATCAATTTGTAAATTAATGCCGTTTTATTATTCTTTGTTCTTTAAGTCAAGATTTTAAATACTGATTTAAAAGACACGTAATATCCACTAATGATGTCCGCGAAACATTTATTTCACCCTAAGGCATATAAAATGAGCGGGATCTTAAAGAACTCCTTAACACGCATTTGCGTATTTATGCGTAAACCTCTTTAAATTTTTTATCTAATTTTCTCGCTTATTTCATTGCACCTTTTGTAGATTCTAATTTTCTTTCATAGTCTTCGGTCGATTTTTGGAGATTTTGAAATCAATTTAAAAATTAAGTCCTTAATCTCATCATAGAACATTTCTACTGCACGATACTATAATAGTGAGTTTTGTAATCGGAGCTTAGATGTGGCGCGTGTCTAAAAGTATGGGGCACCCAGTGCGGATCAAACTCACTATTCAATCGCAATTGTATTAGCGAGACACGCTTGCTAACCATTACACGACGCCGAGGTGCCACTGATATCCTAAGCGTAGCTTAGATGTGACACAAGGATGGAATTGTTGAGTACCAAGTGAGAATCGAACTCACTACTTAGTCGTAATTGATTTAGCTGTATGTAACCGTAAGCTCTATTTTATTTGTAAGTCTTCCAGTCATCCATACTTTGAATATTGCCGCCATATCTGGCCTGATGCTTCCGCTATGTATTTAGAGTTTCTTGATAAAATCCAAACACACTTCAATGCTATTAATGCTGACCTGGCATCTTGGCTTCAGTCACTTCCCCACTGCCTTATCGTAGATTCCCTGTGCCTTTTCTATAAATATTTTCATGGTAATTGTTCAAATGAACTCTCCTCTATGATACCTAGACTTTATGAATTTAAGCGCAGGACTAGATTGGCTGCAAGGTCTCATCATTTTACAATTGAAATGGCTAGGATGTAACTGTAAGTTCTGCTTTATTTATAAGTCTACCATTCATCCATGCTGTGAATATTGCTGCCATATCTGGTCTGATGCTTCCACTATATATTTAGAATTTCTTGATAAAATCCAAAGTAGAAACTGCAATGTTATTGGTGCTCATCTAACATCTCGGCTTCAATCATTTCCCATAGCTTCCCTGTGCCCTATTTTTTTTATAAATATTTTCATGGCAATTGTTCTGATGAAGTTTCCTCTGTGGTATCCAGACTTTATGAATTTAAGTGCATTACTAGATTGGCAGCAGAATCTCATCATTTTACAGTTAAAATCTCTAAATGTAACCGTAAGTTCTATGCTAACAGTTTCTTCTCTAGCACTACTCGCTTGTTGAAGTCTATTGCGGTTTCTTGCTTTCCAAGTTTGATGATCGAGAGTTTAAATGCAATATCAATAGTTATTTTCTGCCTTCTTAATTCCTATTTTTTTTATTGCCCCCCCTTACCACTAAACATGGTTTCTCATATTACTTCACACTCAGCAACTCTTTGCGTCTTAGTGGCTTTATTGCCTTGCTTGGCGTGAAGTGAGTTAAAAAGTATAGTCTCTAATATTTTTTGTGATTTTGATTGCATGACTTCTTGAAAGCTAGTATATTCCGGTTGCACGAATTGTTTTCCTTTGTTTTTGTTTTTTTCACTGTTAACTTTTCAATTTTACACATTTCCTGACCTTTGAATTCAAAGATCTCGCTTTTGATGTTTGTTAAACACAGATCAGTCACTTACAGGGTTGATTTTGAACCGAGTTCCAAAATGATTAAAAAAATTCCGTCCTGGGTATGACGATAAACTACATTCGCGTCCTGGGTAAGACGATAAACTACATCCGTGTCCTGGGTAAGACGATAAACTATATCCAACAGCAATACTTTTGATAAGGGGGTTTTGAGGAGCGTGTACCAACCTCTTAATTGTGGGTGTTTCTAGGTACAATCTTACCCGGAGTGATAGCACCTGTTAGAGTCCCAACTATGTGCAAATAGTTAACCCCAAAACTGTGGGGAAAACACTATTAAATTATAAAAATGGGCTTTAATACCAGCAATAAATCTTTTAAGAAAAAATTATTGCCAGCAATACATTATTACCAACAATACATTTTTGAAGAAAAAATGTAACCAGCAATATATTTTTGAAGAAAAAAATATTAGCAGCAATAAAAATCTTGTCGGCATTAAGGAGGATATGCCGTAAAAAAAAACAAAAAAACAAACAAAAAAAAAAACAACAAAAAAAAAAAAACAAACAAACCATGCGCAAATAGTTAATTCCCAAACTGGGGTCAAAACACTATGAAAGTGTAACAATAGGTTTCAATACCAGGAATACATTTTTGAGGAAAACATATTACCAGCAACACATTTTTGAAAAAAATTATTACCAGTAATAAAAATCTTGTCGCCATTAAATAACCGATTGAGTTTGATATGCCGTAAAACAAACCAAACAAAACCCCCCAAAAATGTTCTTTGCAATATTGACAATTACCTGGACTCGTACACCAACTACTTGAATTGCTCAGTTATTTAAAATGCACACAAAGTCCACGAAACAGAACGTCTTTGCTTCTATTACTTTATACTGTGAGGTACCCAAATGTGGTCCGCCTGACCCACTTTCAAAACTTCTTACTTTTCTTTGTATCCTTTTCAATATATAATCATTTTCCAACAGTTTTCTTCCTCCTCTATTTTGTTATATAATCCCTGTCACCCATTATTCTTCTTCCTTTAATATTTTCCTTGTTTAATTACTTTCTCCTTCTACTCTTCTCCCCCTCTCATTACTATTTCTCCTTACACTATTCATGATTTAATCCCCACCTCCTACTCTTCTTTATTTTATCATGAATTTCCGGTCTCCCTAGAATCTTATGCTTAATCTTTATCTTTCCTTTTTTGTTATTGAAACTTCTTCTTCTACTACTCTTCCTCTTTCCCCTTTCGCTATTGAATCTCCTCCTACTTTCACTCTTCCTCCTTCCCCTTTCGCTATTGAATCTCCTCCTACTTTCACTCTTCCTCCTTCCCCTTTCGCTATTGAATCTCCTCCTACTTTCACTCTTCTTCCTTCCCCTTTCGTTATTTACTCAATTGCTCCTTCTACATTCTTCCTCCTTTCCTTTTCGCTATTGAATCTCCTCCTACTTTCACTCTTCCTCCCCCTTTCGCTATTGAATCTCCTCCTACTTTCACTCTTCCTCCCCCATTTGCTATTGAATCTTCTCCTACTTTCACTCTTCTTCCTTTCTCTTTCGCTATTTACTCAATTGCTCCTTCTTCATTCTTCCTCCTTTCCTTTTCGCTATTGAATCTCCTCCTAATTTCACTCTTCCTCCCCCTTTCGCTATTGAATCTCCTCCTACTTTCACTCTTCCTCCCCCTTTCGCTATTGAATCTCCTCCTACTTTCACTCTTCTTCCTTTCCCTTTCGTTATTTACTCAATCTCCTTCTAATACTACACTTCCTCTTTAACATTTCGTTATTGAATTTCCTTTTCCTACTACTCTTCCCTCTCTTTTATTATTAGATCTCCTCCTACTACTCTTCCTTCCTCCGCTTTCGAAATTGAATCGTCTTCTCCTACTACACTTCCTCACACCTTTCTCCATTTCTTACTACTCTTTCTGTTTCCCCTTTCGCTATTGAATCTCCTTTTCCTACTACTCCTATTTTCATTATTAGATCTCCCCCTACTACTCTTCCCACATTCCCTTTCGTTAGTTACCCTCTTTCTCCTACTACTCACCCTTATTTCCCTTCTTTAACGAATCTCCTTCTGCTACTCTTTGTTTTGTTAGATGATATCCTCCTACTAATCTACCTCCTTCCCCTTTCGTTACTAAACCTCCTCTTACTCTTACTCCCTTCACTTTCGTCATTAAATCTCCTTCTCCCACTATTCTTCCTCTTTTTTCCTTTCATTGTTTCATCTTTCCATCACAACTCTCTTTTACGCTTCATTATTCTTTTTCTATGCTGTTTAATTATCATCTTTTTTTTTTTGGAGGGGGGGGCGATCGCTGTTTCTCGTTCTTCGAAATTTTAACATCCGTTGTTATTCCCATGTTCTCTACGTTTGAATATTTTTCCCTCTTTCATATTGTTTTTTTTTTAGTCTATGTTGCTTTCTTTCTTTCTTTCTTTCTTTCTTTCTTTCTTTCTTTCTTATTAGATTTACTCTTTTATGGAGACAATATTACTTAAACCCGCCATAAAGGTCGGCCATTTTTCTCTCTTTGCTTTTCTACTTGTCTCCACTGGCACTCTCTTCTTTTCTTAAGTTACTCTCTCTCTCCCTCCCTCTCTCTCGCTCTTTTTTACTCGGGCCTTTTTCACATATACTCCTCTAACGTTCTCCCCCCCTCCCACCTTATATCTATCTGTCCTTGTTTTTCTCGTGTTACCTTTACTGAAATTTTTCTCTTCCCGCTTACCATTGGACAGTCCTCAAATAGGACGTGAACATGAATGCAACCAGAGGCCATGAAAGAAAGCAATTGTTCCGGCCTCCTTCCCAGAAAGCAACAACAATTTCCTTTTCAAGGGTTAGAATTGACATGCCCCCAAGTAGTGGCAGCGATTTTTTTCAGCTTCTTCCAATTTTTTTCTCATTGCTATTCATCGATCTCATTTTTCAGTTTTTCAAGGAATTATTTAATTTTTTTTTCTTTTTATTCTCCGTTAAAAAATTTCATTCTTCAATTTTTTTTTGGTTTTTTATTTTTACTTTTTATAAATTACTTCTTTTCTTTCTCCACTCCACTGCTACAACTGGAACAAGGCTATAAAATTGGAACGCTTCATAAGGATGGCGTAAAATTATCAGTATAGACATTTACTAAGTTTGTTCTAGTTGGATACAGGATCACCGAAGTTTAACATCTAAGGAGACTCAAGGGTCTGATAAAATATAAGCAATTATTTTTCTGTACTAAAGGCTCAAGAGCCACTCAAGTAGAGGCTTATATTCAAAATTCGTGGTTTATATTCACTCATCTCACCCCTTATGATATGAAAGAAAAGATCCAAATTAAAGTGTCCAAGGTTTGCGTCTGCTCAAGTCACAAAGTGGAAAAATAATTCTTCCCTTGGCACAGTGGTTCTTAAACGCCGTGCCGTGTTACACTGGTGTGCCGCGTGATTCTCTTGAGTGTGCTGCGAAATATTGTCACATTATACATATATATATATATATATCTATAAATCTGTCTGTGTGTGTATGTGTGGAAGTAGTAACAGTAGAGTGTTAGTATTTGAATAGATAAATATAAAACTTTTTTCAAATAGCTCTTTTCACTATTCTTCGAATGTGTTATTTTAAATACTTTGTTTTAATATTCATATTTTTAAAAGTGTTTTTATCTTTTTAAAAGTTCAAAATAAAATATTATGTTTGTAAGTGTTACTTTGTCAGCTGGCCTTGTTGCTATCTGCCCGGCAAAACTGATTTTTTTTACGGCTTCTCAACACTTTGCTGGTCATTTGAAGCCAAAAGATATTTTAAATTGTAAGAATAATTCTTTTTTTGCGAGTGAATAGTGCATTAATAATAATAATAATAATAATAATAGTGATAAAAACGGGAAAATAAATTGTTTTTATCGCTATTATCGCCTCCTTTTTTTAAAATCCTTGTCAAAATTGTTATTCGACCGAACCCGTCAAATATAAGAATAGAAATATAAATTGAAAGAAGAATAAAAAATGTATCAATGAAACAATACAGCAAAATGTTAAAGGAACCAATGAGGATTAAGAAACCCATGAAGATATCGATGGTCCAAAAGAGTGATTCTCTACCGCCGTGCTGTGGCATACCGGTGTGCGGCACAATTATAAATATTGTCACGGCATCCATATATATATATATATATATATATATATATATATATATATATATATATATATATCAAATTGCTAAAACTTACCATCCCTCTCCTTCATATGTAAAACCCATTTAAAGCCTCTTTTCTTTACTTCCCCTGCTTTCTTTTAACTTTTTCTTTTTTCTCTTCTCCCCTCCCATTTCAATATGTCACTTCCGTTAAGTTAACCGTTTAAATAGGTCAAGGTCTGGTCACTCCTCCTCCCCCAATACTAAGTATGATTGAGAGAGAGGTTAAACCCTCTCTAAACTCTGCTATGTCTCTCTAACCACTCCTTATTACACTCTCTGTTAAATTACAAAAACTTAGACTACACATCAATTTTCATTTTTCGTTTCATTGTTTGGAAGTGCTATCTGATGATCCGGCGTCCTTTGAAAGGGCTCTGGTGAAATAAATTATTATAATGGGAAACTGTTTTTTCTTTAATATATATATATATATATATATATATATATATATATATATATATATATATATATATATGTATGTGTGTGTGTGTGTGTGTAAGTAGTAATGGTACAGTGTTAGTATGTGAATTAATGAATAAGTATTAAACTTTTTTCAAATAATTCTATTCACTATTCTTCGATTATATCATTTTGAATATGTTTTAATATTCACTTTTTAAAAAAAATATTTTTATCTGCTTAATCTAACTTTTAAAAATTTCAATGTGTACATTAAAGCAATAATCCCTATTACAGTAGCTTATCTGAAAGCGCTCGACGAAATCATCGACTATTATTGGATTATAGTATCATTGGATTCGAAATACCTTCGTAAATGTTCCTTCTAATATTGGTCTTCAGTTATGCGAAGAAGAAAATAGGCCACCATTTCTAGTGATCGAGGCCTTAAGATAAAACATTCGACGGTTACACAATGATACCTTTGTGATTTCAATAGAAAAGGATAATCGCACATTAGCTAAAAAGGCTTGATAATTTATATTGCAATAGTCTACTTCTTATTTATGTGAATCTGGCTTCTCAACTTTAAATAACATCAAAAATAAGAAGCGAGAAAGACTACGCTCAATTGAAGAAGAAATCAGGGCCTGCTTAGGCACAGGTTCAACACTAAATGAGCTACACAAATGATTGAATAGAAACATTGAAATAAAGTAATTTCATATTTATGTGTGTAATTAAAAAAATCTATTATTTTCTTTGTAACATTTTAAAGTATACTTTTTTAAAAAAAGTGTGTCGTAATATTTTTATTTCCTCCTAGGTGTGTCGATACTTAAAAAGGATGAGAATCAGGGACCTAGAAGCTCAAGTAAAAGACTTTGGACAGAAACGGATAATGAAGTTTAAACACCTTCAGCCCAGATATGGCAACATTACCGCATTCTTGCGGGCTAATCTTTTGAAGAGAAAACCTGCTTGAAGGAATCACATACTTTTTTTTTTAATCGTTTCGCCCTAAGCAAGGCGACAATGCCACTAAACCACAGAGGACCACGGCGAATGAAAGTGAAAGTGAAAGTGAAAGTGAAAGAGAAAATAAAATAGGAGTGAACTGAGGAAAGGACAAAAATGGAACTGTGTTCAAGAAAAATACAAAATGGCGATTGGTGTAGCATTTAAATTTTTGAAATTGGAGTTATCAGGAAAACAAGAAATCAGTAGTGAGTTCCAAGATTGGAACTGCGCGAAAAGAGTAGAAGTGCATATTGATTTCCTGTCTTTCTTTCTTTCTTTCTTTCTTTCTTTTCACTTTCCATCTTTCCTTTTTTCTCTCTGCATATTCGTTTTCCCTCTTTCTTTCTTTTTACTTTCTTTTTTATTTTTCACTGTTCTTTCATTCATTCAGCATATCCATTTTTTCTTTCATTCCTTCCTTCATTTTATCTTTCTTTCTTTCTTTCTTTCTTTTCATTTTCCTCCTTCCCTACATTCTCTTTGCATACCCATTTCCGTCTTTCTTTCCTTCTTTCTTTCTTTTTCTTTCCTTTTTTCTTTTCATTTTCCATCTTTCATTCATTCTCTGCATTTCCATTTTCTTTTTTCCTTTCTTCTTTCTTTCTTACTTTTCTCTTTTCAGTTTCCACCTTTCTTTCATATTCTGTTCATATCCATTTTTCTTTCTTTCTTTCTTTCTTTCTTTCTTTTCACTTACCACCTTTCTTTCTTTCTCTCTTCATATCCTTTTTCCTACTTTCTTTCTTTCTTTCTTTCTTTTTTCTTTCTATTCATTTTCCATCGTCCATTCATTCTATCAGCTTAATAATTTTCTTTCTTTCTTTCCTTTCTTCTATATTTCTTTCCCACTTTTCCTTCATTCTCTATCAATATCTATTTTCCTTCATTTTTCTTTTTTCTTTCTTTTCACTTTCCGCCTTTCTTTCATATTCTGTTCATATCCATTTTCCTTCCTTTCTTCCTTCCTTATTTCTTTCTTTTCTTCTATCTTTCTTTCTATTCACTTTCCCTCTTTTCTTTCATTCTCTCTCAATATCCATTTTCCTTCTTTCGTTCTTTTTTTTTTCTTTTTTTCATTCTTTCTTTTCACTTTCCGACTTTCTTTCACATTCTGTTCATATCATTTCCACATCTTTCTTTCTTTCTTTCTTTCTTTCTTTTTTTCTTTCTTTTTTTTTTCTTTTTTCATTCCTTCAGTCTCTTTACATGTTCATTTTCTTCGTATCATTATTTCTTTACGGTCAGTACGTTCTTTTTACTTTTATTTCTTTATTTTTCCTTCAATTACACAAACTTCCGTTTATTTATTATCTTAGTATTTTTCATTCTTCTCCTCATTCTCAATATTTCTTCCCTTCCTTATCCCTTTTAATTCCCTTTTTCGGCTGTATCCTCTGTTAATATTCCCTTTTAGATTTTATTCCATTATATCTATTACTGCACACGCAATTCTTACCTCATTACACTCGCCTCTCCATGTAGCGCCTAGAAATCAATTCACAAAATTAGACACATTAATGCAGAAAATACTGAATACAACTATATTTTTTAATATAAAAAGACTATATAGCGCCAGTCTATTAATACTGACAAGAGCAAACAATCTCATACGGAAATTTTTAATTCATCCCAGAAGGGCTGCTGTTTCGACTGTAAAAATCCAGACTGGTGTCTCCATTTCACCAAAGCCAGAAACACACACGTATATGGACGCACATTAAAACCATTGGACGCTGAATTGAAGCGACTTGGGATGAAGAGAAATAAAACAAGATCTAGTGAGGCTGAAACTAAATGATGTGGCTGCCTCAGCTACTAAAGCGAGCCATTTGGAAAATGAATTTGGGATTAAATCGTGAATTTAATCTAAAACGGTTTAAAGGAAATAAGAGACTCCAATGATGCATTTAGAAAAGAAAAAAAGAAAAAGCGATTAAACCGAAAAGACATGGGAGAAAGAAAGAAAGAAATGTGCAATGTAACAGCAAAGAATGAAAGATATCATGCAAAGAAGCGGAAATAAAGAATGATAGATAGATAGATAGATAGATAGATAGATAGATAGATAGATAGATAGATGTGTGAAGCAGAAGAAATGAAACATAGATTGAGAGATAGATGTGCAAAGTGGCGGAAATGATAGATAGATAGATAGATAGATAGATAGATAGATAGATAGATAGATAGAAACGTGAAAATAGCAGAAATGAAACAGATGTGCAATGTAGCGGGAATGCTAGATAGATAGATAGATAGATAGATAGATAGATAGATAGATAGATAGATAGATACTAACACACAGGCATAGATAGATAGATAGATAGATAGATAGATAGATAGATAGATACTAACATACAGGCAGAGGTAGATAGATAGATAGATACTAACATACAGGCATAGATAGATAGATAGATAGATAGATAGATAGATAGATAGATAGATAGACAAACTGGCATAAATTAAAGAAAAGACGAAAGAATGATGTTCAAGAAGGAAATAATTTATGAAAAGAAGAAATAAATGCAAACGCTATAGAAAGAAAAATGGATAGAGAGTTTTGTAGTGAAAAAATGATTTTCAACTAAGAATGAGGAAAATAGGAAAGAAGTATATGAAAGAAAGAAGGAATGAAAGAAAGAAAGAAGGAATGAAAGAAAGAACGAATGAATGAAAGAAGGACGTCAGAGAAGGAAATAGTTATATGTAAGAGCGAAAGAAATTTTTTTATTTGTCAGAAAGATTCACCCTGTACATTGCCCGTAAGCCACTCGAGATAGAGGGTGACGTTAGGAGTTTGCTCAGATAGGAGGGGGAGGTAGTGGTTAACCTTAGCCTTGATTTAGTTAACATTGTATTGACCGTAGAAACATCCTCATGTGTCCCGGTTCCACAGAGCAATGGTTCGGAGGAAGAAGCTGGGAATTAGTTCTCACCAATGGAATGCGGAAGAAATGTGGCCGGTTGGCTCCAATGTGAGTGTCATGCTGGGTCCTTGTCGTGAAGGTTAGGTTTCGCTCGAGCACTTTCCATGGAAGTAGCGATAGAGTAGTGAGAGGTTCGCTACATCTCGCCTGTGAGAGAGAGAGTGAGAGGTTGGATGATGGGAAACAATTCGTCACCCACAAAGACTCAGAGAGGCATCTGAACTCTATCGAGGTCGGAAAATGCGGTCTGGGCAGCTCCAGTTCAAATATGACAACAGTAAACCATTCTCGGCCTGATTTGGCTCTTGTGAAGGTAGAGGAGGAGTCTGTTACTTACTGAAGCGGTACTGGGAGCCGACCACTTTATCCGTATCTTTAGCGATGTCTCGTATGTACGAGTTCCACTTGAAATTAGATGTTAGTTTAAGGCCCGATAGTCTTTCAAGGCACGTTGCCCCCTACTCTGCCATGTGTCCTTGAGGACATCTGCGTATGAATTTCTGGGTATTATAAACCTAATGTCTCGGCAACCAATTTTACCAGTGCTCATATTGCAATTTTTGCTGTTATCATTGTATGTTTTTACCAGAGCTCAACTATGTTGTTATTATCGCTTTTCTTTGGCACTCCTTATTACTGGTTCCTATATTGTATTCATTTCTATGCTTGGTCGGCTCAGGAGTTTTGTCTAGCCTAGCATATGTGCTGATTCCTTAAGTTTACGAATTTTCCAATGGTGTTCCTTGTCTATGATCTCAACATGATCCCACAGAGGGCGGTGTCAAGGATACATGGCACAGTGGATAAAGACATTGGTTATATCCAGTGACAGGACCCAAAGAGTGTGAGTTCAATACCCGGTTAAGGCAGTGCATAACTTTCAGAGGGAAATTAACAGGAGATAACTGATAACTGACATCCATTAAACATGGCACGTGAAACTAGGACAGTCTACCCCAGTGAACGAAATAAAGGGTTCAGTTCGACATTCCAACCACCGGAAGAAGGCCGGAGCGTACAACGGCCGAAACATTGTAATAAATATAGCGACAAAGATGAGGACAATAGTCAGAATAATGTAAATAATGTACATAATACCTCATCTCAGAAATATAGACAGATACTGGAAATATTATATTGATTGAACTGCTGTTTGTATTAATTCTTTCATTGTTTCAGAAATAATTGTAACACATTTTATGCTAATCTTAGATATTTTTTTTGAGTTGTCGTTTTGGTGGGTAGAATAATATATTTGGTTTCTTTTCGTTTGTCAGAATATTTCAGTCTTCAATTCTGAAACATTTTACAAACCTTAGAAATATATATATATATATATATATATATATGTGTGTGTGTGTGTGTGTGTGTATATATATATTATTATTATTATTTATTTACACGTTATTTCCCCTCCCCTCGTTACAAGCATATACACTTGTTTGTTATTTTAGAGTGTTTCCCCCCTGTTTTTTGCTCTTCATTGTCGTTAATATTCTTTCCTGTTGATTAATTATCCAACGATTGTCTCCTGATGAGATGTTGGTTGAAAGGGCCTTAGAGACTTTTAAAATTAAAATCAATACATTCCTTGTTTTTAAAAGTATATATATATATATATATATATATATATATATATATATATATATATATATATTATTTAAAGAAAAAACAGACCACTTTAAGGTTCCATTGTAATAATTTATTTCACCAGAGCTCTTTTAAAGGACGCTGGATGAATTTTAATGACAAAGAATTACTAAAAGTAGGTGGAGGTAGAAGGAAAGTAAGGTTATTAAGATATGGAAGATATTGATTTGAAGAGGTTAAGATTGTAAGGTTGAGCTAAACACCTACGTAGGAGTTTTTTGAATGCCATCTCCATTCAGGACGTAAGAGGCCATAGCCCTCCTTAATTCTTTTAATCATTACACCCCAAGCAAGGTAATAAAGTAAGAAAGACGCAAGTGGTTACTTAGTTTGGGAGAATATGCTGCTTTTGTCTTACAAAAAAAAAACTTTTGATCATTCTTTTATGTTTCGTTTCGTCTTTCATTCTACTTCCTTTGTTTTTTTATAATTCCGTTGACTCGCCTATTTTTTCCGTATTCCTTCCTACTTTTCCTGTTTCGATTGTCTTTCTTCCACTTTTTCCTTCTTTTTATTTTTCGTTCCGTCTTCGTCCCTCCAATAATTCTTTTCCTATTAATAACACGATTTCCCTTTCTATTTTCTTCTCATTTTTTTCTCCTCACATTTCCTTAATTTTTCTTTCTATTTTCATTTCCTTTTTTGGTTATTTTTATTGTTTTACATTTCAATGTCTTCCCATTTTCCTTCTCTTCACATTTTGATTGTCTTTCCATTTTTATTGTCTTCACATTTTTTCTTGTCTACCCATTTTCATTGTCTACCCATTTTCAAAATCCTTACTTTTTCATTGTCTTAACATTTTTGTTGCCTTTCCTTTTTATTGTTTTCCCATTTTCATTGTCTTTCAATTTTTATTGTCTTACCATTTTTATTATCTTCCCATTTTTGGCAGTCTTCACGTTTTTATTGTTTTCCTATTTTTGTCTTCACATTTTTATTGTTTTGCTATTTTATTGCCTTCTCATTTTTATTTGTCTTCCAATTTTCATTGTCTTCCCATTTTCATTCTCTTCCCATTTTCATTCTCTTCACATTTTCATTGTCTTCTCATTTTCATTATCTTCCCATTTTTATTGTCTTCACATTTTTTTCTTGTCTTCACATTTTTTTCTTGTCTTTCCATTTTCATTGTCTACCCATTTTCAAAATCCTCACTTTTTCATTGTCTTAACATTTTTATTATCTTCCCATTTTTGGCAGTCTTCACATTTTTATTGTCTTCCTATTTTTGTCTTCCCATTTTTTATTGTTTTCCCATTTTATTTGTCTTCCCATTTTCCCGATAGACTATATCTGCGTCCTCGGTAAGACGATAAACCATGTCCGACAGCAAGACCTTTGATCAGAAGATTTTGAAGAGCATGGAACCAACTCTTAATTGCTGGTGGGCCCATGATCCGGTGTGGTAGCACCTGTTAGGATCCCAGCTATGGGCAAATAGTTAACACCCATACTTGGGTCAAAATACTATGAAACTATAAAAATAGGTTTTAATATCAGAAATACTTTGTAGAAAAATTATCACCCGCAATAACATTTTGAAGGAAAAATAATTATCAGAAATACATTAAAAAAAAACTAAGGGCAGTACAAACAGCTATATAGTTTTTGAAAAAAAATATTACAAGTTATATATTTTTTGAAGGAAAAATATTCTCAGAAATACATTTTTGAAGAAAAAAATACCAGCAATAAAAATTTTGTCGGTATTAAGTAACCCATTTAGATTTACCGTAAAATAAACGAAACCAAACCTTCCCATTTTTCATTGTCTTCCCATTTTTATTGTCTTTCCATTTACATGTCATATCATTTTTTTTTTATTTTTCCTTTTTTTTCTATCTTCCTACATCCCCATCTGCGTATCATTTAGCTAATTTCTAACTGATCCCTTTATTCAGTCTACGTGAGTTCCGAGTTCTCATTCCAATGCCTATAACTACGGCTATCTCGTCTAGATCTTATTGTTAGTATTGCTCAGATATTGCTTATCCTATTTCCACTGAGTTCAAGTACCTACCGCCCACGCCAGGGTTTGAACTCACATTTTACTGTATCACCGAATTCTTGTAGGCTATCCAGATCAACATATATCTGATGAAGGCCAGAAGACACAGTAATCAATATGTTGTTATAAAAACAACAAAGATGAGGACAATAGTCCAGATGTAAACAAAGATTACTCCTCATCCCAGGAATCACAAAGAGAAACAAAGATGTGTATGAAAAGTGATTTCTTAACAGTAATTTTTAGTAATGAATGTAGAGCTACATTGGATGTAAATGATGGTAGCTCTATAGGTAGAATGGGTCATAGATTAGAATTAAGAATTAATCAACATATATCAGCCAATATTCTGAATAGAAAGTTAGCTAATTTACATGGGTGCACTAATATAACTATGTGGTGGTAATAGCTGAGCATTTGTTTAAATGACCATCTGTGTGCTCAGTCCTATAACAAACATATGTTCTTTTTACTGAGAAAGGCTCATTTGAATTTCCACCTAAAGGTTTTAGATTCTATACATATTAAGTCCTTCCAGCACTCTCTCTTTTAGTAGACGAACTGGCTTTTCGGGCTGAATGTTATCAGCTTTAAGATTATATATGTAATATATACAATAACTTGACTTTTGTGTTTCCTATTTTATTCAAAGTGCATATTTTAGTGATCGGAAGTCAGTTCCACATTAGAAAATTTAAAAAAAAAAGATTGATACTTTATTTACATTATTCGGACTCTTGTCCTCATCTTTGTCGCCATATATATTACAACGTTTTGGCCGTTTTAAGCTCCGGCCTTCTTCAGGTGGTTGCAATGTCGAACTGAACCCTTTATTTCTCGCACTGGGGTAGACTGTTCCAGTTC